AACAAAAAACCAGCATTGAATGTAATGAAACGCCATTTCCTGGGCCAGCTCCAGAGGCTTCCTGAAACTATCCGAACTGATATGTGCTATATTTGTTTGGGGTCATCAGTCACAGGAGTTCTTTTGCCTACTAGTGCTATCCAATCCCCCAACATTTGTACCTAAGCCATATTACTTTACCATTGTAATCTTAGATATCATCTGATATCATGGTTGTTGTATTGAGTGCATATTCTACTGCATTATTCCTTGAAATTTTTTCTTGAAGTGATACTCATATTGTGCTTCAGTGAACCAATGTATAATCCTGAAATGTTATCCTCATGTACCTAGTAATCTTTGTTTCATTATTGTGTATTGTTATTATTGTGTATTATTCTAATCAGCTTTTGTGCCAAAATTTCTTCAATGTACTGTACCTGTAAACATTTTTTGTCAATTTGACTGTAATTATTCTACTTAAAATTATCTGTACCTGTAAAGTAAATCTGTAAAGTACCTGTAAACATTTTTTATCAAGTTTACTGTTAATTTATCTACAAAATTTCTGTTAGTTTAAGGACTTGCCCGAAACTATGTGTGCTAGTGGCTTTACAAGAATGTAAATTCAACTTAATTTCTGTATTCTCTGTTAACCCCCAACTCTGTACCTGTACCTTCTCTGTACCTCTGTACCTTTTCTCTGTACTGTACCTTCTTGTATATAAAATAAATAAATAAAATACTGGGGACCACGAGCCAACACCTGGCCCCCTCAGAGAGGCGCAAGGAGCAATACATTACATTACATGAGAACTTTACAATCAAAGTATGTCATACACACAGAAATCACAATAGCGTGATGCATCAAATGAACAAATCCACAAGAGATTCTTCGCCTCTTGAAGAGGGGGAAGAATGGTGAAGAGGTAGAACAGCTTGTTGGCAGAGCCTGAGTGCATGTGGGAATTGTGTAAAACCCTGGTTTGTGTCTCAGAGAGGCTGCAGGATCTGTGTGAAGTCAGTGGAATTCCCAGTTGCAATTCTATTACCATATCGTGGCGTAGTCAACTAAGGCAGCATCTGGGATCATCCCGGGGTTAAGTTCGAACCCCTCATCACGGCCCTTGTGGATTTGTTCAAGTATGTCGTAATTGCCATCGACTGGGGAGGGCCCCAGAAAGATAGGCAAAACAAAACAGACCACTATCTGGTGAAAATTGCAATCTACTGTACGTACTAAAAGAGCAAAAGAACTTCCCCAGAAAGAAAACAAACAAGTAACACTTCATCCAGTTATCACTCCCGCTCGTTGGTGCAGGGGGGAGGGGGGGGGGGGGTTGGATATTACAGAGCCTGAGCCAGCAGCCTACCACCCCAGTTCTTGAACGAAGACAACGCACCAGAGGGAGGGGGGGCATTAGGGAGCCTTTGGGGCTTGCCCAGAAAATGGCGTTTCATTACATTCAATTCTGGTTTTCTGTGGAGAGTCCTGTCGGCGCCCTGAAACTAGCTACCTACAGATAAATGAAAAACAGGGACTTACCCGGGAGGCGGCAGCACTGCAGGTCTCAAAGCGAAGTAGAGTCTGACGGCCGTGACAGGCTCCCCAATGCAACACAAGGCCATAGAGGGCCCCAGACGTTCACAAGATACCTTAAGGCCAGGACCCTGTTCGACCTCCCAAACTTCCGCGCCCGAATGTTGACCCAAGACATATTACCAAAGACAGCTGCAATAATAATAATAATAATAATAATAATAATAATTTATTCACAAGAAGGTACAATGGGTTGGTGAGACTACATAAGATTGGTATTTGTACATTATTGCAAAGCAACTAACACACATAGCATTTCGGGCAGGGGTGGATGGGCAAACGACAAACTGAGGAGAAAAAGAAAAAGGAATGAATCCGATCCAAAGATGAAGATGGCTCAGGCACGGCGCATGAGCAGGCTGGAGGTTAAAAAGCCCACAAGAGAGCTTGCGGAATGGAGCAGAAGTGACATCCACCTCGAATGCAAGCTGTAGCGGCTCCACCAACGCCTCATGATAAGAAGCGACAAAGACAAGACAACCTTAACCAACATAGACAAAACCCTATGAAAGGAAAGCAAATGGCGAAAAGACCACCAAGAAACTTCATACTGTCACTGAGATGAAGACCACAGATGGGACACCATCAAAGAAGCCACCTGATCACCATACAAATGTCGATACACCCACGTCAGAAAAACCAGACGTGAAGAGTGGAAGAATAAGTCGGACCAGCGAGGTACCTCACTGGCCTGTCCTGCTGAAAGAGGTGGAGCAGCGAAAAACCTCCCAGGTTCGCACACTGAGCAAGCAGTGCTTGAAATCAAAGCTGGGCCGGCCACCATGAAGCCAAGATAATTACCCTACCCTGATAGGATTCCAGTTGAGCCAGAACCCGGAACAACAGCCGGACCAGGGGAAAGGGGTACAGGAAACCCCACTGCAATCAGTACTACCGAAAAGCGTCCATTGTCAGGGCCTCGCAGTTGGGGAACGGCGCCACATACAATAGGAGACACCGAGACCAGGCCGATATGAAGAGGTCCACCTCTGGGTGCTCGTACATCCGACAAAGCCAAAGAAAGGAGGTGAAATTGACCATCCATTCTGTGGAAAGATGAATGACAGGCTGTCTGCCAGGACGTGGGCACTCCTGAATGTGAACGGCACGGAGAGCTAAACTCCGAGAACTCAGCAGAAGAGCTACCAAAAGCGACCAGCCCCAAAGAATCATGGACCAAAGAGACCCCTCCTCCCCCCCCCCCCCTGGTTGAGACAATGAACCACAGAGGGGTTGTCCGAATGGAGCCTGATCACTGAGCCCTGAGGAAGCCGAATCCTTTGCAACGCCTGTCACACCACCGCAAACTTCCACACTGTGCTGTGAGCCCGATGTAAGGACAGCCTCCAACCCCCCTGGCCGGACTGGTGAGCACTGGTCAAAAATGCCAGAACCGAGAGACGAGGCATCCGTGAACACATCGAGCAAGGGAAGAGAAAGGCGCCATGGCACCGAACCCCATAAAATAACAGAAAACAATGAAATTCTCTACAAAGAATTCAAGCCTGAATGTTACTAGGTGGGAGACACTGGTAAACTGAAGCACACCTCGCCTGTGCCAGAAACCACGCACTCAGTCAACCCATACATGAATCAACATATGTACTTGTTGCCAAGCGAGGTTGAGGTCGCGAACTGAGTCAAATTTTATGACGCAATTGGGACCGTAACCCGAAAAATTTGTAAAGGGACAGTCGTCAACTGAGATTCCACTGTATATATAATCACAATCAACTACATTATACTGTATCTGTAAACACAAAAATAAGCATTGGCAATGTTCTTGTGGAACCCTAGGGTTCCGGGGAACCCCAGCTGAGAAATGCTGTGTTTATGTGCTATATAGCACAGATATATCTATTCATTATAATAAAGAATAAATGGATAAATAAAAAACATGAATCAAAGAATGCACTCAAATTTCAAGAGATACAATCATGCATCATATTGCATCAATTGGTATTAATTTGAAAAACAATAAACCATCCAATAAATGGTTTATCCCAAGTCTTATTGCTTGATTTTCCTTTTATTATAGAACAACACAATAACAATTGTAACACTTCTATAGGAAATAAATCCTGTTACTTAAAATTATGGAAAGTCATATTCAGTATAAAATTATTGCCAAAATTTACAGAATTCTTATACCATATTCCTAATATTCCAAAATTCAAGAAAGCTCCCATTGATGAATAAAATATTTATGGTGTCAATAAAATACACAGTTGACTTCTAAGATATAATACAATTTTGTGCATCCCATTTGTAATTATTCATATTTTTAGGATAATCCCCTCGTGAATGAGCAGGATCGCTGCTCTAAGTGATCCAATGCTACAGCAGCCAAGTCTATTATAATGATATCAGAAATTCTAGTATAATATATATCACAAACACATGAATATAAAATGGCTCATTTGGCAACTCATGAAAATATTATTGTTGTTTGGAGTATTCTAGTATTGATAATTAAAAAAAAATTTTATATGAAGATAAATTTGAAAAAATTATGTAAGCTAAATTTTGTCTATAATTGTAATGGATGCACATAATTGTGGTACAGGTAGAAATCTGTAATTCTGCACTGATTTGAAGACAATAAAATATTTATATATATAAATAAATATTTATATATACATATGTATAAATATATAAATAATATTTTCATTCTCTGATGTCTTGAAGAACACAAAAATTCCTAGACATATTCCTATTTTCTTGTTATTTTTAGAACACATACATACACACACATATATACCTTTTCTATATATAAATATATGTATACAATATACTGTATATATAAATGGAACAGCAATATATGAGAAAAGATGTAGTACATCTTCATTTATTTTCCAAAACCTGCTAAAGTTTTGGTGATAACAATTTATCAGCAAAATAATTAACCAAAATAAAAAGTACAAAATTAAATAAAAATCTATATAAATTAAAAGGCTAAAACAATAAAACTCAATCAAATGATATATAAAAAAACATAAAAAATGTCAAAATGACATAATCTACAATGTTGCACATGAAATTAGTGAACGAAAAATTTAATTGTTCAACTCGGATCTCATTCAAGCAATCTGAAGTGATTCAAAGATGTTGAGATGTAGTATAAAACAACTGAAAGTCAGTAGTTTAGGTGACTGGGGTGACTCAAAGTGGCTTCAAAGTGATCTCGTATTGCAGAGTATGCAAAATGTTCAAGGGGAAATCCTGTATGATAAAGAGATACCCATATGCTTATGTATACAGTGTAAGGTATTGTGAGGTAGGCCCCACATAAAAACAATACAACATTTATTTTATAATACTGTTCATCATGAGAATGAAATTTCCAGGGGGAAAAATCTATCTCTGAAATAAATGCAGTACAGTACATAAAAAATATACATATAGTATATATATATATATATATATATATATATATATATAATTTCACCCAGACAAAAATCACCTGGCATCAATGATATGGATGTTGCATTACAGTAATCAGGTGTATATAATAATACAGTATATATATTATTACATTTACTATGTACTAAGCTACCAGCAATGAAACAGCAAGTCTTTAGTTTCAAAATGGCCATAAAAGCCATGTACAGTACAGTGTACAGTATATCTCATTTCTTCAACTAGTACAGTACTGTATTTTCATTTCTAGCAACCACATCACAAAATGTTTCTGTGACAACAATTTTCATAATAACACTGTATAACTTGTTTCTTCTAGACTAATGGAAACTAAAAAGTCTTCAGTAATGAAGACAATTGTTAAAGTTGTTAGTACGTGTATAGACAACGTAATTATCGTATTAGTCCGGATGGGGAACGGAGGTGAGAGCGGGAGATGAGACCGGTCCGGTAGTCCACTGGTTCTGGCTGCTGCCGAGGCTGGTTCCGTTTTCTGTGACGACCCCAACTGAGAGAAAGAGGAGCGACTGTTAGAAAGTGAGATAATTATAAACATAGTGACATGTAATAAATGGTAAATAAATAAAGGGGCATGATTACTATACTAAGAATAGCAGTAAGCATGCAAAGCAGGAAATGCCATAATTAAAGCATACTCAAAAGCATGTACAGTACCACCATTCCTGATAAAATATAAGAAGAGCTAAATACCAACCAACAGTTACTATCAAGACTGTGAGTATATCACTATACATCAAGCTACTATAGAAAATATTATAATTATACAAAAAATCACACCATTAAGAAATTCCTTAGCAATATAGTATTAACATACGGTAAAATAAATATTCTAACTCCAATATAATTTGCCTCTATGTATAATATAATTAATAGATAATTAGGTTTACATATTACAGATATTTTGACACAAGAATTCTCTAGTTCTGACATGTTCATAAGTATCAGCACGTTGAAGGACACAACTGTTAAATATTTACCAATTCATATGAAAAACTGAAGCAAATATAATGGGTTTCCAAAAGATAGTAAATATAAATAAGAGTCCAATACAAACAAATTAAATTTTGTATTAGCATGTGCAATATCTTGAGAAATAAAATTTGTACTTATCTACAGATGCCACGGCATCATAACCGGTCTTATGATGACTGTGTCATAAATATCCCTATGATGTTGTTGTCATAAATAGTCCTTTGATGCCAGTGTGAAATAGCCTTGTAATGTGACCAGACCACACACTAGAAGGTGAAGGGACGACGACGTTTTGGTCCATCCTGGACCATTCTCAAGTCGATTTGACTTGACTTGAGAATGGTCCAGGACGGACCGAAACATCGTCGTCCCTTCACCTTCTAGTGTGTGGTCTGGTCAACTTACTTTAACCACGTTATTGTGACTCATCGCCAGCCTTGTAATGTGTCACAGTCTTATAAATGCTAGTGTCATAAATAGTCCTACGATGCTTGTTTCATAAATAGTCCTGTGATACCAGTGTCATAAATATTCCTATGATTCCAGTGTCATAAATAGCCATGTGATGCCTGTGTCATAGTTGTACGATGCCAATATATGACTAGTCCAATGATACCAGTGTCAAGTATTCATGAGATACCTGTGTGATAAATAGTCCCGTGTTGCCAGTATCATAAATGGTTCTATGATTAGTGTCATAAATAGTCCTACAATTTAATGTCATAAATAATTTTATGATGCCAGTGTCATAAATAATTTTATGATGCCAGTGTCATAAATAATCCTATGATCCCAATGTCATAAATAGTCCTATGATGCCATTATCATAGTTTAATAATGCCAGTGTCATACATACACATATGATGTTGTGTCATAAATAGTCCTATGGTGACTGTGTCATAAATATTCCAATAATGAAAATCATCATATTCACTTCTATGATGCCAGTGGCATAAAGAGTCCTATGATACCAGTGCCATGAACAGTCTTAAGATACCAGGGTATCATTATAGTGTTATTTTATTGTTGACATTATTATCCTAAGTTATGCCTAAAATGCACTGCATATTTGTGGCTTTAAGCATTGTACTTGTCTTACCCATGTATCTTCCTCTGTTCATGTATCATATATACATTTGTGTAAATAAATTATTATTATTATTATGATACTGGTATCAACTACAGCTTAATATTTTCCAAAATGGTTTTATTGTAAGTAAATAATAATAATAATAAGATTTAATGAATGATTTGGTTAAAACAAATCATAAGGTTGATTTATTACAGAGAAATAAAATATTAACCTGTTGTGAGGTCCACATCACTGTTTTTGAGATGTTAAACACACTTTCGTTTTTAGCCAAAAGTTCCAATATGTGGGCCTCTCAATATGAAGAATTGCAGATGCGTCACATCCACTTAAAAACACAGCATTACCAGAAAATTTATAAACAAAATATTCAACATTTACTCCCAAATTTGTGTCATTTCATTCATCAAAATACTTTAGATGAGGAAACTAATACCCTCTTGTGCAAAGAATTAAAGAATCCCCCCTAAAAAAGTTACAAGTTCATTAAACATTAAATGCAAAAGTTCTTTTATTCCCAAGAATATGGAAGGTTGAGAAGGCTTCCCAATCTTTCTGAGGAAGTTTTCTAGATATATTTTGAATTCCAGCACTGAAATATCTTCGACTTTTCAGCTGATAAGCTGTTCCATTAATTTATTACTCTATTTTAGAAAAAATCCTATTATATTATCATTTATTTTCTCTTGTGCATCACATTTGCATATACATTCAAATTCATGTCTCTAGTGCCAGTAGGTTGAAATTAGTAACTGTACCTGGCCATGTAAATATATAGTAATGACAACATTTTAAAATACAGTACAAGTAAATTTTTACATTCCATTGATATATAACATACTAAAATTAATCCTTGTGATTGCATGCATTGTGTTGCACCATTCCAAATGCCTCCCAACACCTCAAACCAATCCTATTTGCTGACGACACAACCTTCATTTACTCCAGTCCTGATCCCCTTGCTCTAAATGCCACAGTAAATACTGAGCTAAATAAAGTCCATCTGTGGCTAACTGCCAACAAACTCACCCTTAACATTGACAAAACTTTCTATATTCTGTTTGGCAATAAATCCTCTAATCAAATAAATCTCAAAATAAACAATACCCAAATTTGTAACAAATTAGATGGCAAATTCCTTGGCATTCTCATTGACCACAAGCTGAATTTCCAGGGACACATTCTAAACATATCTAAAAAAGTTTCAAAAACTGTGGGCATTCTTTCTAAGATCAGATATTATGTACCACGCCCTGCCCTGGTGACTCTCTATTACTCCCTTATCTATCCATATCTCAACTATGGTATTTGTGCTTGGGGCTCTACTACCCAAAATCATTTACGTCCTCTAATTACTCAACACAAAGCTGCTATTAGGACAATATCCAATTCTGGCCCCAGACATCACTCGGTACCCCTATTCAAATCCCTGAATATGTTAGACATTAAGTCACTGCACATTCTCTCATGTGTACTATACATATACAAAACGCTAAATTGTAATGCCAATCCTGATCTCAAAAGCTTCATAGAAGGTTGTAACAGAACCCATGAGCACCACACCAGAAATAAATACAGTTTTGATATTCCTAGAGTACGACTTAATCAAACCAGAAATGCTCTACAAATCAAGGGGCCCAGAATGTGGAATGACCTTCCCAACCATGTTAAAGACAGTACCTCTCTCAACCAGTTTAAGATAAAAACTAAACACTACCTAATAAATTCCCTGTAACCTACCTCACTCCTCTATTGTCAACCCATGTCCGTTATTTTTCTTTTTTTTAATCAACACTGTTTGTCAACCTATTGTATTTGTGCTGCTTTTTCAGTCATGTTCCCCCTTTTTTTTTATCTTTATTTGTATTTGTTCTCAACACTTATTATTCTTTATGCTCAATTAGTATTAAGTTCTAGATATTAATGTTTTTCTTGCCCGAAACGCATTGCGTAATAGTGGCTTTAGGCATTGTATGTACTAGCTCTATCTATATATCAATCCATTAATGTAACATCACTTGTATGTATATACCTTACCTGAATAAACATCTGAATCTGAATCTGAATCTGAATTCACTGAACCACCAAATACCTCTGATGAGCTGATAACTTTTTGCGATGGGAGAAGTTTAAATGGGGTATATTTTGGTTTCACTGTAAGAAATTTAAAATAGCCAAGGTATTAGAGAAAGTTCACATATCAGTTTTGTCCCATATACATAAGTAATATGTTAATAACTCCACTTGAGTTATTAATACTATACTAATAGTACTAATACTAATAGTACCACTATACTAATTATTATAATTAGTTCACATGATTGGGGCTATTAAATGTGCAACAATATGAGCAGAGAAGTGTGATGCTTTGATTATTATGTATGGAGGGCTGATATGTCAGCAAAACACTCTCTAGGCAACGATATATCTGGGATAAGTCTCTCCACAATATAAGCACTTTCATCGTCGACTTCCCTTTGGCATCATCTGCCACCTACTTTCCCTTTTTTTGTTAAAAAAATTCAAAACTTATTTCTGACTAAAATTATGTTTTTTCATGTTATACATTCAGCACCATAGCAAGCAAATATATTATATTTCTTTTGTGCCTGAATAATGCTAGGTGGCTCCGAGAGATTTTGGATAATTCTACAGATCTGTGGCATGGTTAAGTTGAGAAACAGCTGCAACTCAGCCATTGTCGTGACCACATATGTTTCCTGCTGCTTCTCATAGATCCAAAGGCATCAAAATTATAATATTTTCCTTTAATATAAATTTGTAAAATCATATACATTTTAGATTGTTTAAACTTATTACATCATTTTTAGGGGGTTTAGGCGTGACTTCACCCTTGCCATTAGAGGAAATAGAACTTTGTATTAGGAACAAATTTAGTTTAAATTGTTAGTGTTTTGTTGACGGTCTCTGAGCGAGAACACTCCCTTTCCATCTGTCTTTATCCAAAATATTTAAACTAATAATTTTTACATCATTTTCTCACACTACTGTTAATAATATACATTTTAAAGATTTTTTTTTATATATCCTAAATATTTTTTCTTGTATTTGTCAAGATGTGTTGTGCACAGGCCAAACACACAGGTTACATTGCACCATTATGTGTATCCAATTAGCACAGTCACATGTCTTTATCGAAACTGCACAGCACCCCACAGGAGATAGTTATTTGGACAAGAGAGTACCTTTACAACTCATCCCTTCAAGTTGTCCAGGCTTGTCTTGTCTTAAAATTGAGTTGGTTTAAATCAGAGGTGCTCACAGAAGTATCATTGGTGACACACATGTTATAATGAGGGCCAGAAGTATCTGATGATTGCACATTATAATGATAACCAGACATATCTGTGGTGAAAGCATATTATAATAAGTCCCAAAAGTATCTGTGGTGGATGCTATAGTGG